AGAAGCAGGAGGCGCCCTGGTTGTATCGGCACCTCCCCGGCTGGTGTTGGGTCATGTCAGGCAGCAAACCTCCGTCCACAAATGACGGGAAAGATTAGATAGCATTGCCACAACCCAGGAGTTCATTTACCACAGACAGGACAAGGCCCGGTTGTTGAAGTAGAAGTCCTAGAGCATAAGAATTGATACAATATCTGGACACGTCGCATGGTAGGACAAGGCTACCAGAGTTCAAATGAAATGTAGATTGCGAGTATCCGCTGTTGGCGATGAGGACAAGATGGGTCATCGAAGACGAGCAAATACTTGCGTTTCCACTGTGATCCCCAGAGCCAGATGCTTTTTCTAATGTATGCGGCAGCCTCTGGACCTGAGGATGCCAATAGCACTCAATATACACCCATTTGTGTATTTTCTAGACCATCCGTCCATGCGCGGTAGCCAATCCATGACCAGATTTGCAATCAGGAAGATCCCGTACCATGAAATAGCAAAGGGGTCTTTGACATCAATCTAGTCAAGCCTCTGGTGTTTAAGTCAACTGATAGTCGGATGTGAACGCCAACCCAACAACCCTACCAAGTCGTAATACTCGTGGTCGACTGTGTAGTTCTGTGGTGATTCGCTGCTGATGAGTGGTTTGCAGACAAAGGGCTACCGCGCAGACAAGTGGCAGTTTGTACGCCGCTCAGGATTGGGAAGCCCAACCCATCAACCCCGAAATGTTGTCCGCGACCTTCCTCCTTCCGGTTGGTGTATTGACATCAAGCCAGTGTGTCGCGTGGACATGAACAAAAGAGCAAGGCTCGGTAGATTCAAAATCTGATAAGTAGGTCTCGCTGATGTCGAACTGGAGGAATCGTACGTAGCGTTGCACGAAGTGAATGACGATAACGCCGTGTAGTTATCAGCAACGGGACGCAGGTGGCTGGAAAAAGACAGGTAAAGGACCCAACCTTTCGTTCTCGTCATCTCCACGACCCATTAGCCGAGCGGCCAAGGCTTCAGATGTCATCTGGGCGAAACAGTCATCCGAGAGGAGAGGCACCCCGTCTTGAATGTTGTTGAACCTAGTCTTCGCCTCCAGGAGCGCAACATGAGCCCGCAAGATTTGGCAGTCACCAACAAAGTTGCTGCGGAGGAACAATCCACCATCATCCCTCGCAGATATAGTGCGTCCTCCGCGAGGGGTATGGGCCGACAGTCTCGTTTTGCAATCGCGATACTCCACAACATAGGGCAGCGAGCCGGAGTCTTGTGGTGGGAAAAAAGAAAGAATGTGCTGGAGAAGACATCGGGCGAGGCTTACCGTCATGTCTTCGAGGAGAAGAGGGTTCGATTGTGAGCTCGTATCCACGAAACCGATAGACGAGGAGCCTTGGGAAGCTTGATCGGCTACTGGACTACTGGATCCGACTTGCATACTGGACGAGTTGACGAACCCGTCTTGACAGACGTCACGCTTGGCCCGCTTATGCCGTGCAGGGCTGGCATCGTTGTCGGAGCGCTCCAGTGGCTCAGGAGATTGAGAAATTTGCTGCTGGCGGACGAAGAATGACAAGGCAGCCCACAGGTGACCTAGACTCGCTCCGTATCTACGAACAAGGCTGTGATCGCTGCCACTTTCGAATCCTGCTTCAGGGCCATCAAAGAACATTTTGATCTCAACGGATTCTCCCAGAAGCTCTCCAAGAGCAACATGGTTCGACAGTATTGGTAGAATGTGATTGAGTTTCTTATGGCGTATGACACGACAAGCGATAAGGTGGTCGATGCCCCACTCGCTGGCCGGTTGATTGGCGAGTGCGGAGAAGGTCCTGTGGGTACCAGCATTGAATCTTCTCTTGTACTCCGCCTCTGAAGTGATACCGCCGAAGTAAGTCTGATTGGTCATGACTCTCACGAGAAAGATATCCATCTATTGTCGGCTTTGAGAGCTGATGAAGAATTGCCTAGGTTACCAGCGTCTTTTTGTCTTCGCTGAGGTTTCACGGAGATATGTCGGATTATTAGAGGTCCGACGCGGCCTGGTATTGTTCCTTTCCGGCATCAATACCATCACCGATGTGACTGGACATGGAGTTTTAAATGGTGCCTGAGGCATGATGCCCGTCCCCCACTGCGGCTCCATGCAGACGGATCGCTGCGCATGGCCCCCCCTTGGCTCGCTCCTCCTCCGTTACACATGTACCCCCACACACGGTCCGCCAGCCTCGTGATCGTGCATTGTGCGAGCGCGAGTAACGCAGCGAGACATGATGGATCCCGAAATACCTTTACAGGAGTTGTCGAGCAGCGCGATGCGCCCTGGTCTCTACGTTGCTCCCCCGCTGTGGACGAATCGCCATTTGAAGGCTCTCAATTGTCGGTTTGCCGACGTTAAGCCGGGAAGTAAAGGACATGACGGTGAAATAGAACGTCGCTATTTGAAACCAAGATCGCGGTCCACACCTTGCTCCGTTGATGACCCGACCATCGCACGGAATCTTTCGACGAGCAAGGTCAAGAGAATAAGACATTTCGCGATCCAACGGCTGGTGATGGGCTGGGAGGAGAGTTATGCGGAATGCCGGTAAGCCTTCTACTTGAAAACAGTGTTATGTACGCGAATCCTGACTTTTAGCAGCAAGGTACTTCGCTTTTTCTACCGTGGTCGGGTTAGGTACCAACAACAATCGACTCTGCTTCTGTCTCGAGGTTGCGGTAATGCTCCAATCGCATATGTCGATTACGGAGACCTCGACAATAGCTGTCAGAGAGCTGCGACATCCGGGACCTGCCGGGAACGCGATGCAGAGCCCGTCGTGTTAGCTCTTTTGATATCTATCGCACAAGAGCAGGCTCAATTCTGGGGCTGTGATCAAGCCCCCTCTGGTATTTGCCGCTCCGAACGCTTTCCAGAAGCTTTTCAGATTCGCACTCGCTGCCCATTATGCTGGTTGAAAAATGGAACTAACCGACGTAGTCATGTCTGTTAATTACAAAGCAGGACGACAAAGACAGCCTTTACTTTTACAGCACAAACGTTCCTCTGGAGGTGTTAAAGAAACTTCACGACCCTACTTACGTAACAACTGTTGGTGTTGTCATCTATCGCCTCAAAATTCCTTTCAAGCCTCATGAAGATTTCTCAGGTCGAGTGGCTGCGTGTTTAAAGGACCTGACTTTGAGCGACCACAAGTCTATGGAGGGGACAGCTTGTCAGACTGCATCGTTAACAGGCCGGTCTATTCCAACATCAGTTGCCCCGGGAGGCGGTATCAGCGGGTCGAAGTCGAGACGTGCATATGAGGCTGACGAAGGGGACGAAAAGCGGAAGAGACAAAGGCGGTAACGCGTTGAGCAGTGCAGGAGCTGTGGAAGACACCCTGTCACCCGTCGGGTCGATGGTCCGGCGCACTCTTCCGCGGTCAGCCAGAACCTCACAAAGCTCGTCTACGTCGACCATCCTACCAGTCGTTGGCGCGAAATTCGACTCTCCTTGGTAGGTTTGGGTGCTTTGCAGCATCTGCTCCACGTTTACGAAGGGACCCAAGACCGGTTCAAGACAGAGAGGGGGATGCAGACCACGCTGCTCTGTTGGAAAGTCTCACTGCTTCCATCAACACAAAGAAGAGTTCCATCAGGGACCCCCAATGATGAGTTTGCTGGAAGCTCATTGTGAGGCTGCGCCTCCAATGCATTGGTCATCAGCTCTCAGCTGTAACCTGTGGCTATAGTCTCACTCAGGAAAGCATCCCATTGGCAAAAACGTAATAACGATCTATCCACATGTCTTGTCATATAAGTTATTCTGACTTTATTCTGACTTACCTAGACAGCAGCGTGGGAATGCAGGAAGGGCTCAGTTACCCGACTGTGTGTCCCCTATGTGAGCGAGACTGCTACCGCAGCTGGCTAGAAGAAGGGACCAAAACTATCCAAAAACAGAATGAAACAATTCCCCTGCGACTTGGGAAAGAATACGTCAGCACGGCAAGACGTGGTGAAGATTGTTTTAGTCGCTATACCACCAATGGACGACGCGCGAAACATAATTGCAAACATGGATATTGATCACGACAAACATGTCAACAAGGAAGGATATCAGGAGCGCAACCGAAACGGAAGCAACTGTATTGCGAGGTCAACACAACGAGAATATATTTCTGAACCCTTTCTCTGACTTCCTACTCTAGTAGGAGCCAGCCACACACGCACGATTTGGCCCTATATCCGGTGGGAAACAGACTTATCACATTCGGTACGCTAGCAACCGCGCTGTCCACACGATCACTTTGAGGCTAGAGAACAATGCTCTCTCTTGCCTTGCAAAGAACCGAAAGCGGTCTGCAGGTCGGGATCAGCCCGCGAGCTCAGGAATTAAAGTGCATGAGGTACGCATGGCCACCCAGCTCTTGCAGTCATCAGTGTAAAGAAGAAATCGACTAGCGATAAAGACGAGAAGTTCCTATTTTTAGTGAAGTCTAGCCTGTCCATTACTTGAAAAGGTGAACTCTATAAATTCTCCGAAACTTGGGAGCTGGCCGAATCCAGCTCTTGTCGAACTGTCACAGTTTGGTGCGGAACAAGGTTTCTGCAGCCATACCGGTCGTCTAGCCATGCGTCTTGATGAAGCGGGCCACGGCACTAGCGAGGCTGAATCCAGTTGACTCTGGCCAGAGCGGTAAGGCGGTTGTGCCGGTAACTGACTGCCGGCCGGGCTTTCAAGCTGCCTGGCTCTCGTGGCCTCACGTGGGCTGTAATTCGGCCTTGGACCAGCATGGACGACTGCTGTATTCTGCTTCACGCTCCTCAGCACTTACACACCACCTAATTCTGAAGAGAGTTACTTACAGAAAGTCGCCGCATTTCACTCGTCATCGGCATCGATCGACCTCCATGTGACGATGCCTGGCTCATGTGCCTGATCTGTCGAGTTTCATGAGGTCGCCACTGCTGCCCTTGACGAAAAGGCCCATGCTTAGGCGACGGAGACCCTTGGGGATAGTTGGCAAGAACTGCGCGACTCCTCTGATGGCCGCTCTGACCATGGGTGGTACTAT